ACTGTATTGCATCTGGGTGTAGCTTCCGTTTGAAGCCAAAATTGTAGTTTTTGGTAATAGGCCCAGAAAGTGCTATCAAAATAACCCCTTGCATAATATCGTCAATGATCGTCAAGTCACATTCCAATGAAACAATTACTCGCTATGTGTATGCACAAAAAGACATCCGTCCGTGACCCCCTCACCCACCCTTTGGTTGTAGATTCAAGGCTTCTGTCCATATACGACATGTCTGCCAGTTGAGTTAGTCAAGTTCCTCAGACTCCCCATTCGGCCCCTCCAAACAATTGCAGAACTTACATTGGCCACCATGCGTGAATCCGCCTGTCCTTCATCTCTGCTCGCACGCTCGTCAGGAAAACTTCAACCTGCTCCACCGTCCACCCCAAACTTCGTGTGAAGAGCGCCATGCTGAGGCCAGAAAGCTCTCCAGCTACGTTGTGTAAACACCAGAACCCTGCACAAGCCAATGTCAGCCCCAACCACAACACATCACGCCGAACTCCAGGGATGTAGCCTACCCAACTCTTTATAGTGATCGTCTGCCGGCCACTGGTTCGTCGGCCACTTGTACACCACTTCCGTGACGTTTATAAATCCTGCGTCAACCATCTGCTGTCTGTATAGCACGGCACTGTCGGCATGTCGACCTAGGCGGGCTGCTGCTTCCAACATCGCGTCTGACCACTTGTGGATGTACGAATCCTTTACTAGGGTACCATCCTGACATTCCGGTCGCATCGATATATCCTGAAGTTCGAACCAACCCCCTGACTCTAGATTGTTGTAGCTTTGCTCGATGAACCGTGGCCAGTCGCTAATCGAACCAGTGAGCATGCGACCGAAGACAAAGTCAAATTTTGCCGGGTATTCCCATTCGTCTTCTAGGTTGTCTATGATGAATGACACGTTTGGTGGTACGCTGAGATATGTTAATATGATGCTAGGCTTGTGTCGCACCCTTCTTCTAGGACGGGACATGAAAGACAGGCCAAGGGAGGAAAGAGTGTGACCTACAACGATGGCTGAATGGGACTTAGATCTACCCCTGTAACCTGTCAAAATGTTAGTAACGTGCCTGAACTCTTCATTTATTTCGAGAAATGTGAGAAGTCATACTTCGGTTTCAGGATGCTCGTCAGCTGTCGTGAGGGACCGTCAGCATATTTATCTAACAGGCGGGTGTAGAGATGCACCGACCAATATCCATTGCCCATACTCCAGTCCCAGTTCCAGCATCCAATATGCGCTGAATCGGTTTGTAGTGGCCTGCTGGGCATATAAATAATTTGCCCAACGTGAGTCTAAACAAGTGATGTTGTAGGTCTGAGGGTCGCGTCAGTTCAACTCCTTTCAATCATTTGTGTCCGACCTGAGTAAGATGAAGAGTGTATTCATGTGTGGTCAATTGTTCGTACCTAAACGGTCTTGTTCACTCTATTTCATAGAGCCTGTCAGCAATCTCGTGTTCATAGATATTTCCATTGTTCGCAACATGGTATGTAGCAGTTGGACAGTACCCCATCGTTTGGTAACACATAACCGACTATACACATGATTAGCATAGCGGTCTCTGCCCATTGCGGGTCCCTGTTTAAAACATACTTGACTCCAAGTATGCATGATATGTACGCCCATTCTCCATCCGGTGTTGTAAAATGCTCGATCGCAGTGATGTTGTGAGGCTAGCGTCGTCTGCCTGATTAAATGTTGGTACCCGCACACGATTCACGAAGATGCATTGGCGGATCTGGTTCATGGATACTTACACCAAGTGCCGAATCGACATCTGGGAAATCCTGCAGCAACATGAATCGTCAGTCTGGTTGTCACACCACCTGTCGCGCGACAACACATGAGTGGTGCTCACCTCCTCCGCTTCTAAGCCTTCGTCATCGCCAGGTGGTGTGGGTTCCGAGTTCCCTTCCCTCGCGTCCTTTGTGGAGTCCTGTTTAACATTTCCTCGGTTATCGAGTGCCTCGGCCATTGTCGTTTTGGTCTTGGTATCACCGTCACCGGAGCGGGGACCCTCGTCCGGCATGTTGAAACTCTCCGCCTCGGGACACACAGTCTTAGCAAGAAGTGAGGGCCGTTTTAAGTCAAAACCTTGATAGATTGAAGGAGAAGGAAAAAAACAGATTCAACACTCCAAGTTTGAGGGGCAAATTGACGAGGGATCGCCTCGCTTTTAGTTCCCACTAGTCGAGATCGACGGACACTCGGAGGCTCTCGATTGAGCTTGGTAGGAATCAGTTCAATCGCCACAAGCTAGAACGAATCTGTTTAGTGAAGTGGTCAAGAAGAGGTAAATTGTTGTCTCTTTTTTCATTGCATTTCAAATCCCCCGCTGTCGCTCTCCTCATTTCCCCTCTTGGTTTGTTGCAGACCCGACGGGGTGGATGGGTAGATGGATAGCCGCGTCTTTTGATCCATACATAACGGACCCTGACCAGGGGAGCTTCATTAAAGTTTCCGTTTGTTGGTTTGACCCTGTTGGTTCTCTTCTTACGACCAACAGCTGCAACAATGGCCTTATTCCCCTCTTCTTCGCTGGCTTATTTGCCTGATTGGCAGACCGGCGCCGCTATAGCGCTCTTGCTTACCGCTGTTCTCACGTCCTTTGTTGCGTCGAGGCTTAGATGGTACTACCACCTGCATGAATATGACGGGCCGTTCATGGCCAAGATTTCTCCGTGGTGGCTCGTCAGGACCGTTGCCAGTGGCAGAGCCTACCTTGACTTTTGGGAAGTTACTCAAAAATATGGTGTGTCATTGGTTCATTGGGGCCAGATTATTGGTATCCTCTGCATCAGCATCTCGTATTGAACTGACCAATCTATGCAGGATCAATTGCTCGCATCGGCCCCAATGATTTGCTCACAAGCGAGCCCGACTTGATGAAGCACATGTACAAAGCACGGTCCGACTACACACGATCGAGTTGGTACGAGGGAATGCGCTTTGATCCCAGCAGGGATAATCTATTGTCCCTCAGAAATGAAGATGACCACAGAGAGTTGCGTTCAAAGATGGCCGCCGGAGTAAGTCATATTTTTCTTTTTCATGACGAATTGTCTACTTTGACTAACTTGTCAAGTACTCCGGACGAGAAGTAGATGACCTCGAAGAAACAATTGATCACAATATTCTAGAGTTTTCCAGACTGCTGGGGAAATATGCCGACAAAAACAAGCCTGTGGATTTTGGGCGCAAGGCCCAGTACTTTACGCTGGATGTCATTTCGCACGTTGCCTTTGGGGAGCCCTTTGGCTTTCTCGAGACGGATTCGGACGTCTACAAGTATATCGAAACGACGGAAAAGACTCTTCCCATGGTGATGGTCACCACTGTCATACCGTGGCTGCTCAAGCTGCTCAGTTCCCCACTATTCAAGAGGTTCCTCCCATCGGCCAAAGACGCTCTCGGATTCGGCAAAGTGATGAGGTACGTGAGCCATGAGCATTCATGTATAAAATATTGTCGAAACTGACATGACTTGAAGTATTGCCAAAGAAGTCGCCGCAGAGCGCTTTGGCGAAGACAAAAAGGTGCAAAAGGACATGCTTGGGTCTTTTGTCGCTCATGGACTCACTCAAAGCGAAACTGAGTCAGAGATTCTGCTTCAAATGTGAGTTTAATTACATGCGCTCGAGAACCAGAGTGCTGACTTGGATGTAGTGTTGCTGGTTCCGACACAACTGCCACAGCAATTCGGTCGACGATGCTGCATGTCGTCACCACACCGCGGGTTTTGACGAGACTTCGAGAGGAGATTATCTCCAGCAGGATTTCTAGGCCCGTCATTACTAATGATGAAGCCCAAGAAATGCCATATTTACAAGCAGTCATCAAGGAAGGTTTGCGCATCTTCCCACCCGTCGCAGGCCTCATGGCAAAAGAAGTTCCCCCAGAGGGCGATCACTGGAACGGCAGATTTCTTCCCGGCGGCACGCGCATCGGTATCTGCGCATGGGGAATCTTTCGTCGCGAGGACATCTGGGGCACCGATGCGAAGGAATTCCGCCCAGAGCGTTGGTTAGAGAACTCGCCTGAGAAGGTTCAGACCATGGAGGGAATCCTAGAGCTCATTTTCAGCTACGGTCGATGGCAGTGCCTTGGACGACCGGTTGCCCTAATTGAGTTGAACAAGATCTTTGTTCAGGTGAGCTGACATGCCCCTCTATAACGAATTTTGACGCCTGAACTGATTCATTTCCCTTTTATAGCTTCTGCAAGAATTTGACTTTTCAGTATGCGATCCGACGAAGCCCTGGAATGTATTTAATTGCGGTATCTTTTCACAAACAGACTTTATGGTGAGGGTTGAGAGAAGAACCGTATGAGGAAGAGGGTGGCTAGTTCACGATTAATGGTTTATGACTCGATTCATGGGTTGTGTGCATCAAGCGCTTATTTCAGGATATTTTGTCGATCTTGCTGCCTCTTGCTATCTTCGATTCCGTAAACTTGATACATCATGGTCATGACTTGCCTTATATATCTTGATGCATATATTTGACAATGGCGCTTCTGACGGTAGAACAGTCAGCTCTCGCCCTTCTCCGTAGCTCTCACTGTTGGTGGAGCATTCAAGGTCCCGGTTCGGTCCGCACCGTCATCCCATCGGGATTCGGCGACAGGGTTCTATGAGTTCGATGCTGCACTTCTCTCTACGGGCATCACTCACGTGGACGGCTCATTGTTGAGAGGACACCAATCAATAGGATGGCGATAAGCCCGAACAGCTAATCATGCATTATATTGCAACCCTTGGCGAGCCGTTGGTGAACTATCATTGATGGTGTCTGGTAGTTCGTGATTAGCATAGTGTTGCCACAACGTGTTGAGGCGTGAGTGGTTGCAGAACTATTGGTCACAATACACAGAAAAGATGATGCACCAGGGAAAAAAGAACAGAGAGCGGGGAGAGGGGACACAAAAATCCAAGGCTGCTGTTGTGTTGGTTGCTAGTTTCATGACCAAAAAAATAAAAGATTATTTGACAGAGAGGGGATTCGAACCCCTGCCACTTTCGTGACTGGAAAACTGCTTTTGCAATTCCAAGTGCATATTTGGATGTCACTTGAGACCAGCGCCATAACCACTCGGCCACTCTGCCTTGTTTTGATGGTGACCGGCGTGGTAGCATCAACTATGGGAGCATCATAGTAGGTGCACTGTGGAAGCACACCTCTACTCTCCTCTCCACTCTCTTTGTACTCTGCTCTCTCTTAACCTGTCAGGACAATCAATGTTGGTCCTCGCCCTAAAATAATGGATCAAAATGCAAATTGAATGACATATACCTGAATATTGCTCAACACTTCTCCACTCGTCTTTAATTACCATTCCAATATTGCAGCCCGTAATGGTACGCGTTCAAGAGCAGTCGGGTAGCGCTGCATAAGGATGCAATATCCGTGTCAACTGCTGCGGGTGTCTCACCGAAGACAGTTTTCTGTTGGCTATTCTCATTAACGCACTTCTGCATGTACATTGCCTGTCTCCATGAAAAGCTCAGGCTTGCAGTTTGCACTGCATATACGAAGGGTGGGATGGGGCTTACTTGTCAGAAGGTGGACACATATGTTCAATTGGATGTAGAGCATATGCTGTCGATCATGTTAGTATTTCGTTGTGAGCTTGAGGGACCTAATTATAAGTATCCATTTAATCCAAACCTTTATTCTACCAAGTAGAAATAGGAAAGTGGTTTATATACTACAAGTATGAACAGACACTGCCTAATACAAGAATAGTGTCTCTAGCTGACGTCGTGATGCAACAGTTCTTCCACATGATCCGTAATCACTTATCTCCTTCCACACTGTTGCGTGTCGCAGCAATAATACGGCTGTTGCTTCTATAAGGAGCTGAGCAAAAATGAGCCTCAATCTAGCATCCGCTGGCATTCAGTGACCCTCATATTTGCGCGGTTTCCGGATGTTGGTTCGCTTCACCATACTGTTGGTAGCGAGAATACGTAAAGGGTAGCCACCGAGAGGCCCCTCAGCGACATCAATTTGCACCTCTTAATCCCCTTTTGCTACAATAATTCCAAATCGCTGCTGCCCGCCCGTGATCAATCATGGAAAGCTTTGGTTGGGGAGTGTATAAATGGAAAATCCCATATCAAACTCATGTGTAGATGCAAGATGGCGCAAATCACCTATCAACAACATAACCCAAACGAGACGACGCCCTATTTGCACGAATGTACCGATCGGAGAGTGAGCGATCCGAGGTCTCCCCGTTTTTGTTCCTGTATCCTTATAGCTCAGGATTAATCTTCAATGCTTCTGCGTTAACACCGTATGTTGGACGACCAACACGGCCAATTCCTGGGTGACTGAGGGAACAGATGCCATCGGGTCCTTTGAGCGCGTGCCTTATTAGTTGTTGGTTCCAGTGAGTTGCTACAATTTTCGGAGACAAACAATGAGCCGAGTGCCCGGTTTTCTTTCTTTTAATATCTATATCATTGCATGTTTATTCATCTGTTTAACCATTAGTTGGTGCCAATCGATCATACAATTCAGCTCATAGTGGAAACAAGCTCTGAACCTGATTAAGAACATCTTCAAATCGTATTTTCTCCCGTCGCTTCACCCCCCGAAACAGCACTAAAGCTGTCACCTATATTATTGAAACATCAATAATTAACGATTAGAAATCATCAACTATGGCAAGCGATAACAGCAAATCTGCGGTCCGTCCGCCCAAACCTTCAGCCCAGGGCTTTGCCAGCATGTGGACACAGATGTACCCACCCAAGCCTGCATTCACTGAGAAAGATGTTCCCGATCTGTCTAGCAAGGTATGAGCATTACCAAGGCCAGAATCGAACCAACAAGTTGTTGAGATAACAACTCGCGTTGCCTCACAGGTCTACATTGTCACAGGCGCAAGCTCAGGCGTGGGCAAGGAGACAGCTCAGGTCCTTTACTCCAGGAATGCAAAGGTTTACATCGCAACGAGGTCAGAGAAAAAGGCAAACGAGGCAATTTTAAGCATAAAAGCTGCATGGCCCAAGTCTGGCGGCGAGCTGGTATTTTTGCATCTTAACTTGGCCGACCTCAGCACTGTGAAGAAAGCAGCAAACGAATTTCTAGCAAAGGAGACAAAGCTGCATGTCCTGTTCAATAATGCTGTTATTCAGGCCCTCAACGATACGGATGGATCCCAAAAGACCGCTCAAGGTCATGAGATCCATCTAGGCGTCAATATATTTGGCCCCTTCCTCTTCACTCGCATCCTTACGCCTACTCTAGTGGTGACAGCCAAGATTGAACCACCCAACACTATGCGTGTGGTTTGGGTCTCATCAATGGGCTTGGAAGCTATGGGAGAAAAGTCGAAAGGCATATCCACTGATTATCTCGAGTATTGGCCGGCCATGTCGCCCCTAGAGAGATACGGCATCAGCAAAGCAGGCAATTGGCTGTATGCAATCGAGATGGCTAGGCAACTCAAGGAAGCTGGGGTTCTTAGCATGCCCGTGAACCCGGGGCATCTTGCCTCTGACCTATACCGCGATGGTGGCTCAATATTTAAGACGATGCTCAACACCTTTGTGCTGTATCCAAGCATCAATGGAGCCTACGTCGAACTGTTTGCCGGCTTCTCATCTGACATTACGATCGACAAAAGCGGAGAATGGAGTAAGGAATTCCCTAGAAACCTCATCAAGACTAAGCTCTAACTGTGCAATCTTCTTTAGTTGTTCCCTGGGGTCGATTTTATTCTCTCCGTCCGGATCTGTTGGAAGCTACCAGATCTGAGGCTGAAGGGGGCAACGGACACGCCCAAGAGTTCTGGGCTTGGAGTGAAGAGCAAGTTCATGACTTTATTGAGAGTTGATGGCCAGAGACTTCTTGAACGAAGCTACGAAGAGCGACGATGGGAAATGGGAGAAATGGCTGAGGTCATTGACAAATAAGCTTATCATGCTTGAAGAATGCATCACAGTACTAATATTACTATTTGCCTAGCATCATGGGCATCTTTTCCTCGTTTCAGTACTCGTATAGGTTTCCTTTCATCACCAAACGTTCGTTCATATGCGATAGAACTAGAAAGTTTTGAGCAGTTCACATGGTCATTGAGCTGTGAATCGCGAGAATGGATCCAGTAATTACCCCGCCCCCGCCTCCCACAGCGGTATTCATGCCCGTTTGCGTTTAACACGTAACCAGCATACATACCCAGCTTCACTACCTTGGATTAGATAGGTTTGCGTCGCATGCCTTGATGTCTGCAAGTACATTCAAACCAGCCGTAGCGAAGTCGTTTGCCTTGGTGATATCACGCAGCGTATACGATAAATATGTCGCTTGGTGTCCATAGGGGGGTCAACTACTCTCAACCCCGCATCTATGTTGGGTGAATAGTGAGACGAAGTTTTGTCCGAGTTGTTAGATCCTTTGACGAATTTGTTGAACCAAGTGACGATGTGTATTTCGGTTTGGACATGAAAGGGATGCTTCAAACGTGGCCAATGGGAGTGCATGTCTGGAATACGAGGATGAACAAACGGCGTGTGAGATGCAGCTTACCGAGACATTTGCCAAGGAGCTTTTTGGCCACTTGATGATCTGCAATGTGGATGCTATAAATGTACGGTCAGATACCCTTGACTCGACAAGATTTAGACATTCATACTTATCTTTATCAATCAATGACTACGTCCGCTTTAATAACCAGATTTGACTATGAAGATCTTCACGGCCGTCTTTCTGATTTCTGCTTCGGTTGCAGCCATTGCTGACGACCCTCCTCCAACTTGCAATCAAGTAGGGCAGCGTTGCAATCCAAATGCTTCGCCCCGCGTTCTGTGCTGCCCACTAATTGACTGCACGGCGCCGGTGGGAAGCCCGCCTGAGACTTGGGGATGGGTAAGAAAGATATTGCCTCTTCTCCTACGGAGTTATCATCATAGACTAATTAGTGATCAACAGTGTCGCAAAAACTAGGCAAAAAGAATCAGACCATAAGACAGTCGAAGGGATGGATGTAGTAAAGTCGGTCGTCTTTCAGCATGTAGGGTAGGGAATGGGAAATCTCATAAATTAGCGTTCACCAACGCCAATCATGGTCAAGCTGGACAAGTTCTGGGGATAAATAGTCTTATTTGTCATGCTAGAAAAAGAAAGAAATAGCATATTGGATATGAGCAATGAAGTGCCGATTTATCTCATAAGCCTGACGCTTTTGGTGGCATCTCTTTGCTGTGATTTGACGACTGACCATAAATGGCAAGTTTCCGCCGTCAAGCTGACGAAAAGGGATCCTGGAGGGGTGCCATTTCGCAGGCGGGTGAGTGATCGCGACATGATTCTCCAACTATTCCCTAGAAAGAAACCTCTAGCCAAATACCTTGGGGTTCTGATCGGAACATGATCGTAGCAAGCTGCAGATGTCTCCTCTGGAACTCGATGCCTGTGCTCAAAAGGCGTGTCTCCGATTGACTGTTTGAGGCATGGCCCGTTGCTGAGAAATGCATATTATGGACAACCCCGCGTTCGACTTCCAGGTTGGGCGTCATGGACTCATGATGAATGTATTCACTAACATGACGTGCCCGTTCTATACTTGGAAACATAAATAACATGATTCATATCTTCTAGATTGCCATCATGAACTCTTATTTAGTTTAAATCTATCTAATTCATTGTCTTGTTCACTTGAGCGCTCATTTCTATTACTCCAACCCCACCATGGCGACCTCTTCTCACCATCATGTACTCCTCCTCGGTGGCCATGGCAGAGTCGCACAGATTCTTACTCCATTGCTTCTGAAGCGTTCGTGGACTGTCACTAGTGTCATCCGTGTTGATGAACAGATTCCCACGATCGAAAAGCTCGGCGCAGGATTACCAGGCAAGCTTCACGTCTTGGCCCGCAGCATCGAGGAGATTAGTAGCCAAGAAGAGGCTGCGAGCCTTTTGGATGAGGTTAAACCTGACTACGTTGCATGGAGTGCAGGTAAGTATACATCGATATTAGCCCGTTGCTGCTTGGTATTGAAACTAACTTGCTTCATAGGCGCTGGGGGCAAGGGTGCACCCGAAAGAGTATGTCCACCGTAATTATTTTTTGCATTTAGGGTGTGCTAACTCG